CCACCACCACATGTCCCCCCGTGCACCCAGATCAAGGACGGCTTTGGCCTGCCCCTGGAGCCCAGCCAGGCCTTCTTCTTCACCACAGAGCCCAGCCCCGCCATGCAGGGACCCCAGCTGTCAGCAGGCGGCGCCAGCCTCGTTCTGGAGCCTGCCCCCGGCACCCCGGCCCTGCAGTGGCCGATCGCGTCGCGGGGCAAGGCGAAGTACGGCACCGACCCCACCGGCGCCGCCAGCTGGCAGGTGGCGGCCAAGGGGTACCCCGACGCGGTGCAGCTGACCGCCAGCTACGACAGTAACCTCGCGCCGACGAAGCTCGGCACGCCGAGTGAGCGGGATGGTGCCTAACAGGCTGGTGTCTGTTGTACGGATCAGGAGGCTAACGGGCAGTGTGGCACAGGGGAGGGTGGGCCGAGGCGACGCGGCGCGGGGAGGGCGCGGCAGCGGAAGAGGCACCGGGGATGACGGCGCCCTTCTGCCCCAATCACCCACCTCGCGTTTGTCGGGTGGTCTACTTGTGCTCTTGGATCCTCACAATCCGCCCGGCCCATCTCAATCATTCGTCCCCAACAGAGGTGGCGTTCAAGCGCAACGAGGGCGTCCTCCCCAAAATCGACTACCTGCCCCTGTCCGGCGCGCCCGGCCTGCAGCTGGTCGCCAACACCCTGAAGGCCTCAAAGGGCATCAGCAGCCCCACCTACGTGTCCCAGACGTTCCTGCAGTATGCCAGCGTTTTTGTAGGGAAGGAGCTGACATCATGGGTCACTGACACCCGCGGCACGCCGCCGCCGGCGGTGGAGGGGGCAGAGGTGTCGGTGTATCTGTCGGTGTATGGGAAGGTGGGTGCGTGCGTGCGTGTGCGTAAGTGTGTGCGAGCGCACGTGTGCATGACTGTGCACACATGTCGCCAGGGTTGTGGGTGCGAGATGGAATGCGCCCCCTGTGCAGGGGGAAGCACGCAGTGTTTGGCTGGGTAGGGCGTTGTCTCAATATTCGGGCTATTTGAAAGGGCCTTTCGCTGCCAATCCCCTGCGCCTCACACGCCTCGCCTGTGCGCAGCCCGCTATCAAGGGGCCCAGCTGCACGACCGGCTCTGATGGCAGCTGCACGGTGAAGATGGACAGCCTGCTGGCCGGCAGGTGCGCACGCATGTCGCTGCACGACGCTGCAGAACCAATGCGGCGTCCTCAAGGCCAGCTCTGCTAAGGAATTCTAAGCGATTTGGACCGCACAGACATGCATGCGGAGCTGTTCAAACGACTTGCTCGGCGCATGTGTGAGCGGGAGTGCAACCCCTTTTCAGGCACCTGGCCGTTGCGCCAACCCGGCGTGCTCACCGCCGGACCCGAATACCGCAGACCTTGGAAACTTGCAGCCCACCAAATCAACAAATTTTAATACTCAATCCATTCTAATCTGCAGGTACGGCTCCCTCACCTCGCTGGTTGAGGCCCCCGGCCACGGCCTGCTGCTCGTCAGCACCATGGACACGCCCTACATCCCCTCCGCCGCCGACGCCGCGGCCGACGACGCGTCCAAGTGGGCGGGGCAGCTGGTGCTGGACCGCGCGCTGGTCAAGCCCGGTGACACGCTGCACGTGACGGGTGGGTGCATGGTCACAGGGGTTTCGCGATCACGTTCACTGTGGAGGCTGGTGGACAGAGAGAACGAGCGCTGCTGGCAATTGCGATTGCAGGCGGACAATGTCGTGCAGCTGCAGGAGAGGGGATTGCAGGTCGTTTTAATGGCACACGGGATGCGCCCACAGTTTCAAAGCCCCGCCATGCAAAGGCGAACGCCGCCTTGCCAAGCATAACGCGCTCGTGCCGCTGCACCCTTATTTTGCCCCTCAGGGTTCCTCCAGAGACGCAACGGCCTCCGCCTGTCCCTGCCGCCGGCGAGCCTTTTCTCAGCCACCCTCTCAGTCACTCCCAACTGGAACACTTCTGCGGGCGACATCGTGAGGCTCCCGGTCACGATAGAGCCGGGTTACGGCAGCCTCCACGCGAACATCAGCGTGCCCGCCTCGGCGCAGCTTGTGCAGTACGAGGTTGCGCTGTTGCTGCCGTCGACAAAGGAGGGGGCGGATGGTGTGTCCGTGGCTACAGAAACTTTCCAGACGGCGGACCCGAGGCCGCCAACAGCAGTGCTCAACCTGACTACCCCGACCTGGGTGGGCTTGGGGGTCATTTTGTATCATGCAAGTTGTGAAGCGTGCTTAGGATGGGTCTTGAGCAGGCAGGGATCTGCTTGTTTATGAAAAGGGTTGGTGCGACTGGCTGGCTGAAATCCGTCGGATGCACCGCAAGCGCAAGCAGCGCTGGTTTGCTTTGGCTTAGTGCACCCATGAAGAACCAGGCGTGCATGGGCAGACACACCCCGCTGTTGACGCACCACTGTTGCAGGCGGTGCCAAACGGCACCGTCAAGGCGCTGATCAAGGTGACGTCATACCTGGGGGCCGACGTGTCTGACGCAATGGTCAAGATCACGTGGACCGTCCCGAAGGCTTCTGGCGCCATCAACGTCACAACAGACGCGCGGGTGCGGTGCGGAGGGCGCGGGTGTTGGGAGCACTTTGCTGTGTGTGAGTGCACACGTGAGTGTGTGTGTGCAAGTGTGTGTGTGTGTGTGTGTGTGTGTGTGTGTGTGTGTGTGTGTGTGTGTCGGCCCCACACGCCGGCGCCCTGAGCATTGCTTGCGTCAGGTCATGTCAGCCGCAATTGCAAGGTTTTACAAGTCTGGAGCACATACTGCAGCAATCAAACGAGCCAATCCGTGTGCCCGGCCCCGGCTGCCGCGCGCGTCTAGCAGCTCAAGCTCTGCCCGGCCCTGGCCCCCCCATGACCTCGCACCCCTCACACCTTGCCGCTCCTTCGCACCTCCCACGGCCACTACCCCCTTCCCAGGGCCGTGCCGTTGCCCTGATCCCCCTAGGGGAGCTCCCTGCTGCCAACGCCACAGTCCTCGGGGACGCCCTTCAGGTTGGTCACGCCATCCCGCCCCCCCTGCTACACCAGCTCCTCAGCCTTGCTGTGCCGCAGCCGCTGCGCACGCATACGTCGCCGGTCGCCTCCCAGCGATGCTCGCCGCGGCCGGCCAAGGGGAGCCTGTGATCCCTGAATCCTGTTTGCCTCTGACTTCTGATTCGACCCCCTCACCTTCTCTGCTGTTCATCAACACTCCAGGTGACGGCCAATTGGGTGGGCCCGACCGGCGACCCTTACACTTCCACCAAGACCGTCACGTGAGGCGCATACACTCCTGCTTTCCCTGCCAGGATAGCAAGTGCCTCTCTGTCTTCCAATCCTCCACTGCCTTGAAACTGCCTGCTTGTGTCCTTGCCTGCCCGCCTGCCCGCCTGCCCGTAATCCTGCCTCCACACCTGCCCACCTTTCAACACTCGGGTCACCTGCAACCCTTCGCGCCCGCACGCCTGCGAACGACCGTCCTCGACCCCTCACGCGGCCCCCAACCTCAGCATCGCCGAGGGCCCCGTGCGCAGCACGCTCGAAGCCTCCCCGACCACCGACGTGCCCGGCGTGCCGTTCATCGTGAAAGCCACCACCTTCCTGGACAACGCCGCCATCGAGGGCGTCACCGTGGAGGTCACCCTCGCCCCCAAGAACTCGAGCAGCCTCGCCGACTGCTCCGCCGCCGAGCGGGCCGCGGTCGCGAGGCAGCGCTGCGTGGTCGTGTCTGGGAAGCCAACGGTCGGCGCGGACGGCGGCGCGTGCAGCCTCACGCTGCCGTGCGCAGCAGACCTCTTCCTGCAGGCCTGCGCTGTCTCGTATGCAAACGGGACCAAGGTCAAGGGCGGGTTTGGCGGGCGGCCGCCGTGCTCCCGGACGCCGGTCGGGCGCAACACCACTGCGTGGGCCCAGGGCCCCTGGTCCTTCCAGCCGCAGCTGTCGCTGCTCAAGGACAGGGAAAACTACACGCTGGGATCGACGGCCACCCTCAGTTTCAGCGTGCCGAGCTACGCGGGCCCAACCTCGGGCCTACTGATCTGGGGCAACTCCGACGTCCGGAAGTCCAAGAGCCTCCCGAAGATCTCGCCGGGCCCCAACAGCGTCACCATTGGCCCGCTCGGCGACGAGTGCCGCGGCGGCTGCAGGGTCGCGCTGGTCGTCTCCGTCGGCCGCAACACGGCAAAATCGGCGCCCGCCCTCCTGCCGCGCGTCCCCACCAGCCGGCTGTTCGACCCGCTCTCCCCCTACACCCTCTCGGATGCCGTGAGCCTCTCAATTCTGGGAGACAACCGGCTGGGCGTAACCGTCGCCGTGGAGGGCGCCGAGGGGCTGCGCACGCGGCAGGGGGGGTATGCACTCGCAGCCCCATATGGGGGCGTGAAGGTCACGGTGGACGTGCGGGACGCCGATGGCGGCAAGCCGGCGGCAGGCGCGCAGGTGGGGGCCAGATGGGTCGCCGCAGGGGCAGGCGCGCTCGCTGGGCGGGGAGGGGGAGTTCGGTTGCCGACCGTCCAGTGGATCAACTGCATAACAGCTCTGCAGCAGCTGTTATGCAGTTGATTTGCTCCACCTCGCAGCTGACTTGGGTCATTCTCAAATTGCAATGTTGCTAGCGCAAGCTGTCACTCTGCCCACCTCATCAACCTGCGCTGCGATGATGCTCCCAGTTTCACACACCATTACCTACACAAACGTCACATATACACCAGCTCGTACACCAAAACTTCACATACTAATATGATTCAATCCCAACAGGTCACATTAGTCATTGTTGACCAGGCCATCCTGGACCTCATGCCTTATGATCTGAAGGTGGGTGGTGGCGCCGCAGCTTGGCCTGCACGCAGCAGCAGGCGGTGAGCTGGCTGTGGTGGCACGCACGGAAGCGCATCGCAATGCCGTTCATCCACCTGCAAACGTGAAGTGGCGGTTGGGTATGGCACCGCACTTCAATGAGCGAGCGTGTTGTGGTCGTGAATCGCCCGCTCTGGCCTACCTTTGCAACGTCTGGGGGATTGCAGGATCAGCCCAGTGCCATCCAGCCCAACGATGATCTCTACCTGAAGATCAAGGAGATCAACGCCAACAGGTGGGGGACACAGAGGGTCCGGAGGCAATGCATCCAAGCCTGTCTGCACAAGTTTTTGTGCAGTCAATTCAATATGATCTACGCACAAACTCACTCGCATGCGCATGCCCATGTGCACGCGCGTGCGCGCGCACACACACACACACACACACACGCTTGCCTGCACACGCACACCAGTGCGCGCGTGCTTGCTTTTCACAGAAAATCCACACAACACACAAACACATTCGTTGCACAATGGATAACCACACACAAGGCATAGAGCCACGCACACTGTGCACACGCATCGTCCATACCAGAGTCTTGTGCTCTCTCTTCCCACCCCATGCCTTCAGGGCCAGCCGTCAAGCCATCAACACCACGTTTGGTGTGCTGGCGCGCCGCCTGGGCTTGGACCCCTGGCTGCCCCTGGACACCACCATCACCAACAGCATGGTGGGCACACTGTCAGCACGCCTCAAACTCCCCTTACGCACGGTGAACCGGCGTGCCCCTCAAAGTCCCCTCAGTTTGACAGCTTCTTTCAGCCAGCCCCGCGGTGCTGCCGCTCCGCCACCCCTTGAGCCCAATTTCAACCCCACTACAGTAGCTCAACCTCGTCGGCCCGGCTGCTTTCGACAATCCAATTCCCTGCAGTCCTGGCAGCAAGGCGGGTGGGGCGAGCAGTCCTACTACCCCACTACCAACCCGGTGGATGTTCCAGATGCAACCTACCTGCCGCGCTTCGCCACACCCGTCACTGTCACCCCCTTTTACTCGTGGTGCGCAAATTGGGGGAACGAATGCAGACTTGGCGCTGATCTGGGGGCTCAAGGTGTATCAGGGCGTTATGGGGGTGCAAGGGTGGCGTTAGTGATGGATGCGGTCAACGGGCTGACAGCAAGCCCCTTCCTTGTCTCAGCTTGGGCTGTAAATAAAGGCTTGGATCATGGCCGTTCTCAGCGTTCCGACCCTCTGAAGTCACAATGGCCACGCCTCCATGCTGCACGCAGGGGCATCACGCAGCGCTACCCGGCCAGCGCGCGCGGCAAGTCCGAGGGCAACGCGCAGCTGCGCCTCAGCGAGGACTTCAAAACGGTGCCCGTGTTCCTGGCTGTCCAGGCAGACGCTGAGGGCCGAGCCGTGGTGGAGTTCAAGGCGCCGCCCAACCTCGGGGCGTTCTCTGTGCGCGCCTACGCGGTCAGCAAGGGCGTCGCCGACGCGCCCAGCAAGTATGGCGCAAACGAGACCAGACTCGTCGTCAGGCTGCCCGTGTCGCTCACGCCGGCGCTGCCCAGGTGTGCAGTGAGGCTGGGGGACCGCTGGGTGCCATGATGTGCGTGTGGCGCATGCGGCCGGCCACACTTGTCGCAGACGCTTGGCGGGAAGCACGCAGTGGGTGGCAGGCCAACTAAGGGTTCTGCACAGGCTTTTGCTGAAGCTCCGCTGCAGATAAAGCATTGCCCAATGCATGTTATTTTTCCATCCGTAAAGCAATTGACCTCCCAACAATGCGGCCACCCCACTAGGATGGTGCGTGTCGGGGACGTCTTTGAGGCCGGAGTCCTCGTCACCGCCCCCGACGCCGGCGCCACCCCCATCACCGTGTCCATCAAGGCCCACGTCACCGCCTCCTCCTCCGCCGCCGGCAACGAGGAGGCCGCCGCCGCCGCCGCCAGCACCCCCGCGGGGGACGCCGACGCGGCCGCGCGCCGCAGGCGGCGGCTGCTGGCGGAGCCCGTCGTGCCCGCGGGCCCGGCAGCTGCCATCCGGCTTCTGCCCGAGGACCCGTACGCGCGCGAGGCAACCCTCAGCGGCGCAAAGCAGCAGCAAGAGGTCAGGTTCAGGTTCTCTGCCGGGGCGGTCGGGAGCGCGGGGCTGCGGTTTGATGTGTACCTGAAGGGTAGCAGCAGCTCGACGGACGCGGCTGCATACGACGTCCCCGTCCTCGGCCGCCAAGGGGAGGTGAGTCATCGAGGCGATCAACTGACGGCTTCATTGCTTTATTAGTGGAATGTGGGTGGCGGTGCTCTATTGGCCACGAAGCATTGCTGCAGTTGCACCAATCTGCGGGCCGTGGCTTCACATTGGTCCTCATCTGCCCTCAGGGTTTCGCACGCCCTGTGTGCGCCGCAAGCGGCACCGCAGTTGGCGAACTGAGAGCGCCTTGCTAACCACCGTCGCAAAACAGGTGTTTGTTGCAACTTCGTTCGCGTTACAGCCTGGCACCAACGCGAGCGCGGGTCAGGCCGAGGGTTTGGCGCTGCCGGAGGCCGACCCTGGCAGTGGGTCTGTGGATTTGGTGGCTGGGGTTGGCAACCTGCCGTTCCTCCAGGTGCGCGTGTGTGAAAACGTGTGGAGGAAAGCGGTGGGTCAGAGGTGAAGTGAATGTATGGGTGACGGCTTGTGTGCCAATATGGGTGGCAGGGTGGATGCGTGCAGGGCGTTGCTTATGGGTGAGCATGCAAGGCAGCGAGGCAAGCACGCGATCATTCACGTGACCGTGCAAATGTCAAACCACAACCTGCCCCTCTCTCGTCAAACAGTCCAACTACGACTCGCTGGTCAAAGAAGCCAGCCGCGACCCGCCACCAGACACGTACGCGCCGCGCGCCGTCGTCACGGCGGTCCTCCCGGCCCTCCTCGCGCGCTACCAAGCCGGCGCCGCCGCCGGCGCCAACGCGACCGCCGGCGGCTGGGCCGGCAACGCGACGCAGCTTGCAGCCAGCAAGGCAGCTGTCGGGCAGCTGGCCGGGGAGCTGACGGACCCGAATCTCGGCCTGCTGTACTTCAGCCCTCAGACGCCCGGTGGGCCGGTGTACAAGCCCGATGACGCCTCGATTTCGCTCAATGGCTGGGCCGTGTGGTTGCTGGCGCAGGCGGCAGCAGGAGGCGACGAGGTGCGGCGATCCGAGCGGCTGACGTGGGTGCGCGCAGAACTCGTCTCCTCACGTAGCAACCGGCGGCCGCCGGCGATTATGACGCATGGCTGGGCCGCCGCCGGCTGCGCGGCCACCGCCGCATGAATGTGCAGGGCGGCGTGCCGCGTCATAAAACCAATTGACCCCTGGCCTGGGCCACGCCACCCGCAGGGCCCCGCTTTCCTGGCGACCCTCCAGGCCCCCGCCGCCCGCTGGAAGGAGGCCATCGGGCGCCAGCTCATCAAGGATGCCAAGCGCGTCAGGGCCAACCCCTACCCCAATTATGACCCCTATGGCACCCAGCGCAAGCAGACCGACCCCAAGCCGCCGCCGGCGCGGTACCGCGACTGGGAGGACCTGTCGTGGGCGCGGCTGGCGCTGGGCGCGGGCTGGGCGCCGCCGAGCGGCACGGACGCGGGCGTCGTAGGTGGGCGGGGCGCGTGTGGCGCCGGGGGCGGGCAGGATGAGGCTATGCGGAGGAACCGCCAGAGGTCATTGCCAGCAGGCTACCGATCAGCAGCCTCATGAGGGCGCGCTTGTTGACATCTCTGCATGCGAAACGACAATCTTCCCGTGTCGGCTGGCGCGGGATCATCCTCATTTGCAAGGTCACAGCTCGGCTTTTTCAACCCGACCTGTTCTCTGTGCACCGCAGAGGACCTTGCCCTGCCGCGCCTCATCGCCGCCGCCACGTCGCCCCGCAACGTCTCCATCGGCACCGCCGCCCGCGTCGGCCTCGCGCTGCTCGCGGCCCCCGGCACCCCCGGCGCCAAGGACGCGGTCTCGGCGATCTCTCGGAACCTCCAAAGCCAGATCAGGGTCCAAGGGAGGACGGCCTACGTCGCAATCTACCCCGACGCGGCGTTCTCCGCGTGGGCAGAGGACCAGGCGTGGGCGCTGGCATTCCTCACCCAGGTTGCCCCCAAGGCCGGCCCCCAAGCTACATTGATCCAGAAGCTCTCGGTCGGCGTCGCCCGCGGCCTGCGGCAGGCGGGCGTCGGCCCCCTGTGCGTCAGCAGCGGCGGCCAGACAACGGGCGTGTCGGCGGCGGCGCTCGCCGCGTACGACCAGTCGCGCGGCTCGACGGCGCCAAATGTGGCGGTGACAGTGACGGCGACCAACGCCGCCGGCGCGGAGAAGATGCTTCTCGAGGCAAAATTCACGCCGGCCAACGCGGGGCGTGTCGAGAGCACCTCCACACCATGGGGCACGCTTCCGGCCAACGCAAGCGGGCTGTCGTTCGAGGCAGCGGGCCGCGGGGAGGTGTCAGTGGCTGCGGGCCTGAAGTTCACGCCCGCGCAGCTGCTGCCGTTCCCGACCTACCGGGGCCTGTGGGTCGAGAGGATCATCCAGACGGAGGCCGGCGAGGGCAACCTTGCCGCCGCCGCGGCCGGCAACATCGTCACGATCACCGTCCAGATCACGACGCCGGATGATCTGGGCCAGGTAATCGTCGAGGTCCTGATGCCCGGCGGCCTCGAGCCGATCGACCCTGCTGTCTACAAGGACCCCTCGCAGCAGCTGCAGTGCAACCTCGGGGACGGCGGCGGCAGCGGCTGGTACAGCCGGTGGTTCTGGTGCCCCCAGACCCAGGTGACGCCCAGCCTCGTAAAGATCAACTACTACAACCGCCCCGCCGGGACCTCGATCGTCTCCTTCAAGGCAACGGCCGCCACCCCAGGCACGTTTGCGCTGCCGCCGGTCAAGGCGTACGCCGTCGCGCAGCCCGAGGTTATGGGCCTGTCCGCCGCCGGCACGTTCGTCGTCTGCCCCGCGCGGCCGCCGGCGGCGACGACGCCGCTAGTGAAGGACCCAGGCTTTGGCGGCGACGACGACGACGCGCGCTATGCGGCCGGCCCTGGTGGCGCCGCGGCGGGCGGCAACCCGGCTGTGTTCGGCCCCGTGCCGGCAGTCTGCGCGTCCGCGGCGGCGGCCGTCAAGCCGCCGCTGGCCGCGGCCAAGGCTTGCCCGAAGGACTGCAGCGGGAACGGCGTGTGCAACCTCAAGAGCGGCACATGCATCTGCAGCCAGGGCTTTGCTGGTGCGGACTGCTCCAAGGCAAAAGCTTCTTGATTTGATCAGGCGTGCCGCCGCCTTGAAAATCTCGTCCCTAGCCCTCTCATCAGCCATCAATCAATCCCCACAGCGGCCCATTGATTGACACTGCGCTGGCTCGGACCTCAAATATTTACTGCACAGCTCATGCCATCTGCGCCGCGCGCATCTCGACATGCAGCTGCCATGGATGTTTAGTTAGTTCATGAGCCTTGCTAGCAGGGTTTGCTAGTAGATTCCTGCCTGCTTGTGCATGTAGCATCGCAAGGCTCGCGCCCTCTGCTCAAGACACTTGTTCGCAGCTGCTTGCCCCAAGTTGCACCGCCTCCCCCATGAGGAACGAGGGTTTGGCTGGGAGGGGGGCCAGTGGCCTGCGGCGCGCGGCGTGTGGCTGCTGTCAAAAAAACCATGTGGGGCTCGGCTCCTGTTGTCAAGGCAGTGTTTGATTCCCTTCGCAACGGCTGCATGATACGATTTGTCAAGCTCAGAATGTCGTCGTTTCGTTGGGCGCCCCAGAAACGCGCGGTCGTCCGCCACGAATGTGTGCGACAAGATGCCCCATGCCTGCGCCAGAGATTGCGGCGGCCCACCAGGCCGGCTTTTGCCGATGCGCATGGATGTGATACTTGCGGATGTGATGCTCTCAAGGATTGCGTGTTGGAGCGTTTGGATCCTGCACACAATCACGTAATGCGACACGACTAGCAAGCACACGCCCTTGGGGTGCAGCGGCCCCCTTCATGTGATGTAGTCAGCAAGCGGAATACTGCAAAGCTTTCGTACCCTGTCCTTGGTCCGCTTTGCTTCTGTCCACGCTAGCTGGCCACCCAGGTCAGCCGGCCAAGTCGAGTTTCATAACCGGAGGGGTTGATCAACGAGTAACTGACGACTGCTGCATCGCGTGCCAACCAGGAGTAACAGTAATTGGTCGACGTGCTAGCGCAGGTCTGCATGGTCCCCGCGGATCTGACATAAACGCACATCCTGGCTGACAGAGAGCTGTCTTCAGGACGTTACAGGGCCGGGCTCTGCATCGATGTGGGGCTTGCATTGGGTGCGGCAAATGGCGCTCAACCCAAAGCTTGATCATTCACACAGCACCAGACAAAGACGTTCGGGCGTGAATGGCGTGAATGGTGGCACAACTTGTCAGTTGGAAAACCTATGGTACAGATCAACGCATGTCCTCTTCGGCGTGCGATGTCATAGAGCGGTACAAGCCCAATCAAGCCGCGCTTCAGCAGCTCAGCTGCTGCTGCCGTCTCCCACCCATCTCTCCGCCGCCCCCACCGTGGCCCGTCTCAAGCGCCAGCCGCCGCGCCGCCCATGCGCGCGGCCACTGGCGCAGGCGCCACTGCATCCAGTCCGGCATCAGCGTCATCAGCGCCGCCATGCCGTGGACCTCTGCCATAAACGCCTCGACCCACGACAGCGGCGACACGCTGGCCTCGAAATCCGGGCTGAATGCATCATCTAGGCCCAACTGCTGCTGCTGCTCTGCGCGCGGCATATCCCACTGCTCCGGCGCCTCGCCCGCCCCACCTGCCCAGTAAGCGCCGCTGTGCATGACGACCACGCGCGGCTCAGGCAACAGCGCAGCTGCAGGCGCCGCGGCCGCCCCGGCGGCCGCGGTTGCGCTGAGCGTGCGCAAAGAGGCGACCGCGGTGAGGGCCCCGGCCGAGTCGAACCCGGCAAACCGCGCCTCGACCGCCGCCGCCAGAGCCGCGACCCAGGCGGCGCCCGGCGCGGCGTTCAGCTTGCACAGCGCGCGCGCTATGGCGGCCAGCTCGGACGCCCGGAAGCTGGGCAGAACATGGTGGGAAGCTGCCAGGAAGCTGCTGAGCCAGGCGTCGCCCGGGTGATAGTTCAGACGCGCCAGCGCCCAGATGACCGCCGAGAGCTCCCGCGCCTGGAAGTCGGGGAGGCGGGGCGCGCAGCTGCCGAGAAGCCGCTCCATCCAAGGCTCCGAAGGGCGGTGGTCGAGAGAGGCAAGCGCCCACAGCGTGTTGGCGATCTCGCGGGTCTGGAAGCGCGGCAGCTTCTGGGAAGATTCCACGAGGAACCACTCGAGCCACCTTTGAGACGTGCAGGGGTGAGGCCCCAGTTCAAAGGCGGCGGGCGGTGGGTGAGGGGTGGGGCTGTGCGAACGGGCTGGAAGGGATTCTGGGCCCAAGGACGGGGGCTTGGTGAATCGCCACCAGCAGCTGGCAGCCTGCCCGCGGCGGTGCATCCTTTGGCCAGTGGTAGCTACAGCCGTACGAATGCGGTAGCCATCACCGCTTTGCTTGCTTGCCCGATTGCCAATATCCCTGCACACCCGTGCGTTGCTGCTGCGCCCCCTCCCTACTCCACTCCCAAAACCCACCAACAACACCCACCTATCATCTGGCCAGCCCCCGATGGTCGCCGCCGCCCAGATGCAGTTTGCCAGGTCACGAGGCTCAAAGTCAGCCAGCAGCGGCCGGCTGGCCGCGGCAAACCTCACGAGCCACCGCTTCTCTGGCCGCCACCCAAGCGCCGCTACGCAGTATGCGATGCGAGCGCAGGTCCTGGGGTCGCCGCCCTCGGCCGCGGCCGCCGCGGCCTGCAGCAGCCGCTCCTGCAGCCGCGGCGGCGGCGGTGCCATGTGCAGCGCGGCCGCGCCAGACAGGAAGTTGCACAGGCGCGGGCCGGTCAGGTGCGCCAGCTGCCGCGCCGCCGCACGCCACGCGCCGCGCTGCCAGGCCTCGTCCGGCGGCGGCAGCCCCATCTGCCCCATGCTGAGCAGCAGAACGCCCAGGTGCCCCGCCGCCGCCTCGGCCCCGCCGCGCGTGGCCACGAGCGCCGCGGCGCGCTCCACCAGCGACCGCACGGCCGCCTCCGGCGCCACTGGCGCGCCCGCCGCGCCGCCCAGCTGGCCGGCCGCCCACATCACCTGGCCGATGAGCTCCCCGGCATCCATGCCGCGCGCATGGAGCGCGGCGTACTGGAGGCACGCCCTCATCCACTGCCGAGCAGCCAAAAGGTCTTCAACTTCCGCGCTGCCGCCGCCCCCGCCCCCCTCGCCGCAGCAGCTGCTGCTGCTGCTGCTGCTGCTGCTGACGCGGACCAGTGCCGCGCTGCCAGGGAGCGTGTCGATCAGGCTGCTGTTGCTGTTGGAGGTGCCAAAGCCGCCGGAGGTGCTGCTGCCAAAGATGGGGCCGCCGTGGCTACAGTCCGCGCCGCCAGCCGTCGCGAGCCTCGCGACGCCGTACGCGCTGTTAGCCAGCGCCTGCGGCCCCATCTCCGGCAGCAGCGCCCCCGCGCGCCGCGCCCACGCCGCCAGCCAGCCGCGCGGCGGCGAGGGGCGCAGGAGGGAGAGCGAGTAGGCGAGCTGCGAGAGGTCGCGCTCGTTGCAGCGGGGCAGGGCCGCAGAGGCCGCCTCGAAAAGTGCAAGCAGGAACTTGTCATCCCAGGGGGGCTGACGGGCGGCGCCTCTGCTGTAGATGGTGGTGATGGCGCCGCTAAAGGTGCTGCTCAGCTGCGCGCCGCTGCCGCCGCCCCAGCCGCCGGCGACGCCGCACGAGTGTCTTTGTGCCGCCGCCGATGAGGCCAAAGCCCCAGCCGCCTCACTGCCGCCGAAGTAGTGCGGCCGCAGCAGCGCCAAGGCATACACGAGGTTGGAGAGCTCTTGGGGGCTGAAGCCCCACAGCCCCCGCGGCCCCGAGCAGCAGGCCATCAGGCGCGCTAGCCGCTGGGGCGCCGGCGCCACACCCAGCCGCGCGGCCGCCCAGAGAATGTTGGACGACTGCCGGTGCGTGAGCGCGCCGCCCCGCTCCTCGGCGCGCTGCAGCAGGTCGAGCGCAAGGCTGCTGGGCCCCGCTGTGGCCGGGGCGTCGCCCGCCGACTCCCCAAGGCCCTGCTCCGCCGCCCGCACCCATCCGGCACCGTCGCCGCCGCTGCTGCTGCAATGCTGCCGCGTGCCATCCATTCCTCTGCCATACAGCGCCGCCAGCCTCACCATGGCAGCTGACAGATGAATCTGGTCAAACCCGCTGCCGTGCGCATCGCAGAGCTGCAGCAGTTGGCGCCAATCTCGGGCCTGGGTGATCAGCCTGGTCAGCGCACGCGCCCCTATGTAGCCGTCGCTGGCTGCGCCGCAGCTGCCTGCGGCTTCGCGGGGCCTGCGGTTCGCACTGCCGCTGCTGAGCTGGGCTTCGGTGTGGCCGCCATTTCTGACCATGGAGGCCGTCTGAGCGTGGCCGCCAGCATTGACAGGCAGGTGCAAAACGGGAGGGGGTACAGCATTCGCCCCGCTTGCACGCCGCCGGTGGGCCAGCCAGGCTGGGCTGGCCGCACCATGCTCTGACACTTCGCCAACACCCGCAGCGCAGGCAGCATGAGCGGCGGCCACCACCGCTGGCGCTCGTTGCTGCGTGCACCACGGCCGTACTGCCGAGACCTGGATTAAAAGAGGTCGGTGCGCTTTTAATATGTGGCCTCAGCCCGATGGTACGTCGGTATCAATGCGCACACAGCGGCACCGACGCACCTGTAGCGGCCAGCTCGACAGCATCATAGCAGTGTGTCAGATAGGATCAAGCTGACATTATGAATACCATCACCATGGGGTGGTGAGTGATGGCCATGCGAGCAATTGCAGATCACGTCAGCTGATGCGAACCGCTCTTTGTTGTCGATATCAGTGATTTGCCACGCATGTATGTCTATCGGGACGATGCTTACCGAATCAATAGCCAAACAAACGTCACCTCCCTTCGCACTTCAAACGCGTGCTTCGCCAATCTTTTCGCTGCACTGAAGGACCTCCTACCCTGGACACCGTAGAAACCTTGTATTCAATTCATGCAGCGCCTGCAGGATAGCGGCGCCCCGCTGACAATGAGCGGAAGCGCGTCGTTCCGCTCTGGCAGCACACCCGCCATCGGAACGCAGCAGCAGGGCGGCGCCGCGGGCCGCAACCTGTTCGAAACGCCGCCCGAGCTGCTGTGTCCAATCACACGTGACCTTCTGACGGACCCTGTGCTGACCACCAGCGGCCAGGTTGGCCGAAATTGCAGAGCTATTGCCCAATGCATGCATGCATGCATGCTTGCATGGGGTGCACAACGCCAACGCCCCCCATTTGCAGACTCGCATGCGCATTACTTTGCACCCCCTAAATAACGCCGCGCTTGCTCAGGTGTACGAGCGAGCCGCCATTGAGACGCACCTGGCGCGCGCGGCGGCGGCGGGCGCGCCGCTTACCGACCCCCTGACAAACGCGCCTCTAGACTCGGACCAACTGCTCCCCGTCTTCCCGATGCGCAGCCGGGTGCACATGCCTCGGCCTGGATACCTGAGCGCCCCGCATCAGCTGGCCTGCAGCAGCTGGCGGTAGACAGTCGCAGCAACGAGTGTTGACGCAGCTTGCCTCTGCAGCTGAGCAGTCCGCTTGTGTCCTGTCGTCCATCTTGCCGTGCATGCCTGGACGGCCCATCTCCATTGATTGCTCTTTGCCCATGCAAATCACCCACCATGCCGCTGCTCCCATCGACCCATACCATACAGGCAGCAGAGTACCGCGAGTCAACAGTGCGCGCATGCGCATCCATCGCCGCCTCCGAGCCGCGGCGCTCCGAGGCCGTCCGCTACCTGCGCCGCGCAGCAGAGCTTGCCCTGCCACCCGCGCAGCGCCAGGCGCCCGGCCACGCGCCCAAGCGGGCTGGCGGGCGCAAGGGTGCGGCCGCGGAGGCCGACGCCGGCGGCGAGGGCCTGCTGCTGAGTGCGCCCGGGCTTTCGATGGAGCTGGCGCGGTTTGTCGCGTCCCACCGCGGGGAGGCATACAGCGCGGTGGCGCTCAAGTGGTTTGGAAACGAGCTGATGCGCGGTGGCTTTCCAGACCAGGTGCGCAAGAGGCAAAGCGCGCCGCAAGCGGGGTGTTCGATGGCGCATCAGGCACAGGCACAGGCAGCCGCCTCAGGCCTGGGGCATCACGCGTATGCCCCGCTTGCGGCCATGCGTTGTAGCTGTTCTGGAGCGTCCAAATGGGTTGTCACGAAGCAGGAATAAATGCCACGCACCTCCTCCCAGGAAATGGGGTGCACGCTCGCATGCCTGCGAGTACATACGCAAACAATTGCATGTGCAACACACACACACACACACACACACACACACACACACACACACACACACACACACACCACACATATGCAGGCTGCGGACGTGTTCTACAGCCTGCTTTTGGAGGAGTGTGACCGACAGCAGCAGGCAGACTACCTATCCCTCTGCCTCGAGTGCTGGGGACACACGGCGGCCCACCAAGGCACGGCCGCCGCCCCTCTTGACAAGCTGGGTGCAGGCGGCGGCAGCGGCGGCGGCAGCGGCGGCGGCAGCGGCGGCGCAGCGCAGCCCCAAGCGGTGGAGGCTGACAGCGCGATCGTGTCAAAGCTCGCAGATTTCGTGGAACGGCAACGCTGCCTCAGCGCCGGTGACGTCATCGACATGCTGCAAGCGCCCGACGCGCTCGGACGCGCGGGCGCCCTGAGGCTCTGCGACGCCCTGCTGTCGCGCGCTGCCGCCGCCACTGCTGCAGGGGGTGTGGGTGGCGGCAGCGGCAGCGACTCGCGACGCGGCAGCCAGGCGGATGGCGGCACACAGGGGCAGTCAGAGTTGGGCAGGTCTGTTGAGCTATTGGTGCGGTATGCACGGCTGAGCTCAGCAGAGGCGGCAGAAAGCACGCTGCTTGCGCTGAGGCCGCAGCAGGGCGAGCAGCAAGCCCCTGCCGCGGCCAAGGTCGGGGATGACAGCGGCACGCGGCGCCGCTTTGGCGGCGAGCGAGCACAGCGGGTGCGCGCCGCGCTTTCGAGCGGCCCTGCGCGCGCGGCGGCGTCTGCGGTGCTGGCGGTGGCGTCGCTGGCTGGCGGTGGCGGGGTAGCTGTGCGCGTCGCGCGGCTGCTGCCGCTGCTGATGCTGCTTCATACGTCTGGCCGCCCTTCTGCGTGAGTGCACTTGGGATGCTTGCGGGCTGCTTGGGCTCAGGCGGCTTTGATAACAAACGTTTTCAATATGGTCGCGACATTTGAAACACTCAGAAGTTGATGAATTGGTCTTGCATATCTTCCTCATGCCGGCACACTTTGTGCTGTTATTTGGTGACCGTTTGGAACCTTCACTGCAACGTGGTGACATCCCCGGCTTTTGGGTGTGCTGCTCATATCAAGTGATGTCTGCTTTGATGAAGCGTGTGCCTCATCTGTGTCCCTGATTGTCGCTCACTCTCAAATGCCCCTGCTTGATCCTGATTCCATTTGCCAAAGTCAGCTGCACTTGGTACAGCCTTGGTGTAACCCGCGGCATTGGTGAAGTTAATTACCGCAACAGTCACAGACTTGTCCAATGCAGGCAGTCTTGGCAGCTCTGTTCATGCAATTGAGATGGATTTGTTACTCATACTGCTTCACCACCTAGAGATCTTACCCGTGGGCCGAGGCTGCTGTAATGATGATCGGCCCACTGCTGCTACCCATTGATTGCATGCGCTTGGGCACCACATGCACCAGCGCCGGCGCGGCAGGTTTTGCAGCGGGTTCCTGCTCTGCCAGGACATCCAGTAGGCTGCTTGGCAAAAGGTGCAAAGGTGGTGGGTCACGCACCGTCGCCAGCGGCGGCCCCCAAATGGAGTTGGCGCGGCCAAATGGGTCGCCAAAGCTCGAGAGCGGCTGCCGGTCCGGCTGGCCCAGCTGACACAGCTGCAGCTGCTCGTGCAGGTGCTGCTCCTGCTGCTGCAGCTGCCGCAGCTGCTGCACCACCTTCTGATGCTTCTGCTGCAGAGTCTGGACCGTTCCTGGGCATGCTGATGCTTCCTGGCTCACCTCCAGCTGCTCGCCCCACAGGGCAGGCGCGCTTGCCAGCCCCAGGTGATCAAGGCGCTGTACCTCTCGCTCGCCCTCCTTTGGGAGCTTTAGTTGCTGGTGGTGTGCTTGATTCACACGCTGGTGCTGCTGCGGTTGTTGCGGGGGATGCTGGGGGTGTTGCTGAGGATGTTGCTGCTGCTGTTGGTGCTGCTGTTGGTCGTAGCAATAATGCTGATGCTCTTGCCGGGGCTGCTGTTGCTGCTGTTGCTGCTGTTGCTGCTGTTGCTGCTGTTGCTGCTGTTGCTGCTGTTGCTGCTGTTGCTGCTGTTGCTGCTGTTGCTGCTGTTGCTGCTGTTGCTGCTGTTGCTGCTGTTGCTGCTGTTGCTGCTGTTGCTGCTGTTGCTGGTTTTGATGCTGTTGCTGTTGCTGGTTTTGATGCTGTTGCTGCTGTTGCTGGTTTTGATGCTGTTGCTGCTGTTGCTGCTGGTGCTGCACGTACTGCTGCAGTTGTTGTTGGGAGTGTTGCTGGTCGTGCGGGTGCTGGCGCTGGTGCTGCTGCGGTTGGTAATGATGCTGCTGCTGCTGCTGCTGCTGCTGCTGCTGCTGCTGCTGCTGCTGCTGCTGCTGCTGCTGCTGCTGCTGCTGCTGCTGCTGCTGCTGCTGCTGCTGCTGCTGCTGTTGCTGCTGCTGCTGCTGTTGCTGCTGCTGCAAGTACAGCTGCGGTTGTGATTGGGACTGTTGCTGGTGGTGCAGGTGCTGGCGCTGGTGATGCGGCGGTTGGTGCTGCTGCTGCTGCTGCTGCTGCTGCTGTTGGTTGTGGTAGTACTGGTGCTGCTCATGGAATTGGTCGCGCAGTTGGTACCGGTGCTGCTGTTGGTACTGGTACTGGTATTGTTGCTGCTGATGCTGGTATCGGGGCTGCTGCTGCTGGTACTGGGGCTGCTGGTACGGGTACGGGAGCTGGTACTGGTACTGGTACTGGTACTGGTACTGGTACTGGTACTGATGCTGCTGCTGCTGCCGCTGCTGCTGCTGCTGCTGCTGCTGCTGCTGCTGCTGCTGCTGCTGCTGCTGCTGCTGCTGTTCCTCTAGCTGCTGCTCCACCAGCTGCTGCTCCTTCTGCTGTTCCGCCTGCTGCAACAACCTTTCCTGCCGTCGCTGCCTGCTCAGCTGTTGTTTTCTATGCCGCTCGCCCCCGCGTGTGGACCTTCTGCGCAGTCTAGTCTTCGGAGGAGTTTCCAGCCCCCCATCCAGCGTACCCCCAACAGCATCATCCTGCCCCTTTCCCTCAACGCCATCCTTGTCCATGTCCTTGCCGCTGCCGTCAACGCTCCGCGGGCTGTAGGTTGGCTCCTCTCCACCCGCCGAACGCGGTTTCGCCAGCACCTCAATACTCATTGGTTGTTGCTGCTGCTGCTGCTGCTGCTGCTGCTGCTGCTGCTGCTGCTGCTGCTGCTGCTGCTCCTGCTGCTGTTGCTCCTGCTCCTGCTGCTGCTGCTGCTGCAGCAGCTGTGGCTGCTGCTGGTCCTCAGCGGGCAAATCGTGCTTGGTCGTGCTGCAAGAGTCGCCATGTGTGTGCTTCAATAGTACTGTTTCTGCGCTTGCTGCACGCGCCACCTGGTCAGCTGCATAACAGCCGTGGTGCTGCTCGTTGGGCGCCCCATCGTCCCGCTGGCTATCCGTCCTCTTGTCATGCTGCAGCTGGTGCGGCAGAGAAATGGATAGTGACTCCAGCAATTGCAGAGGGCGCCAGCCCTGAGAAGGCAGCAACTTCTCCTCAGCGGCTTTCACCTGCACACAGCACGGGGAGTGCACGCGCGGATGGGTCCAACGAGTAGAGAGGTCGAAACTTTGTTGGCACGCATCTTCAAACCCAGAAAATGCCCTTCATACCATGCGCGTGACAGGATCAGTGTGAAGGAACACTTGGGTATGATCACAATGTTTGTGCGGCGGCCAGCTGGCCACGCCACACGCCCACGTCCCAGCAAGCCATTTCCTTGCGCACTCTGGATAACACCCTCACCTCAGCCATGAAAGACTCCAGCCAGGCGCCATCTTTGCCGCTCTCCTCTGCAGCCATGCATCCGGGCTGTTTCAGCTGCATGTGAGTGCTCTTCGCATCGTCATCAACCCCGCACTGCGCCAGGGCCTGCTGGTCTTGGGCCTCCTGCGGCGGTTGCCGTTTGTGACGCTTCAAACATGTGCATGCGGCCGCCGGCCCAGTCGAGCTCATTGCACAAAGGAGGTCCCTGAATAACATCCCTGTGACTCACCAGTTTCCAAAACAGGTCCGTAATGCCCTCCTTGGTGGTCATCCGGGCCGGGGTGCCTGCAATCACGTAGGAAGTGTGGTTGCAGTGACTATGCATGTACTTGACGCAATCACACGCAAGACGGCGGTACAAGGCTTTGTGTGTGAGTATGGTGATTGCAAGCACCTGCTCAGAGAGAGAGGCAAAGCTTGCAGTTGCAGCAGCACGCAGCGCAAGCGTACGGTGCACGAAGCAGTCCTGCCAAGCTGCTTGAAGGCAGCCACACTGCCAGCACTAACCTGCTCAATTTCTTTTCATAATTGGCGTGGAACTGTGTGTGTTCCAACGTAGGTTATCGCGGAAAATTGCAGATGCAGCGTGTTGTGACACCCACTGACTGTCGTATGATAAGATCACTGGGTACGTTTTGAAACACAATGATTCAATGGCATTGAATATGCGTGTTGGAATATGTACAACCCGCGACGTTCGGCAGCACTTACAACATCAAGGTGCTGGCACAGCTTGATGGTTGACCGGCATGCAGCGACAACTTCAGCACCATCAGCTGGGCGTGAGACTTGCCCTGATTCATGCAATTAACTGATTGGAATATCTAGATTGATATATCTGCAGAGCGCTTGCCTGAGACGCTCTCATGCGCCGAGCCTCGCGCCGGCCACACTCATGAGCGCCGCTGGCCCGGCAGCCGCATCGACTGCAAGCGATGCCCCAGGGTAGTAGTGCTTCTTCGGGCCCCCGCTACGCTCTCCACTGGGCAAGCGAGACCTTCTCACATAGGAACAGGGAATGGCCATCCAGCAACAGCATGAGCTGGCTGCCCTCCAGCAAGGCGGACACTTGCGGCAATCCTCGAGTCCATCACGACCTGCCTGCAAGCGCAGCAGCTGCTCAGCCCCGCCGGGGTGCGCCGCAGCGCAGGCAACGGCCTTGCAGCAGCCGGGCGAGGCTCGCGGCCCGCCAAGGTCAGGTGGTAGCCGCGAGCAGCTAGTGTACTGCATCATCAATTGAATGGGTGACGTGAGGGCACCATGCGGGCGGTGCCGCCCTATGTGCATGCTGGGCAGCGGCAAGGCAGCCGACTGCCGGCGCCTCCCCCCCCCTTGCAAGGGAGCGGGAGCGCGCTGAGGACCGAACAAACCCAAGCGCTGACTGCGCTGGGCGTAGCTTCAAGGATTTGCTGGGCAAGCAAAGTAGCAGGCGGCAAGCATGTTGGAACGCACTCAAAGCGCAGGACGGCACTCTCTCACAGTGCCGATTGCCCACGAACCGCAATTGACCTTGGCGAGGGTGAGGCGCGCAAGTTTCCTAGGAAAATCATTCATGGCGCGCCGCAGGCGTAGCCGCGCTTTTGGCTGGCTGAGGCCAAGGCAGCTGCAGGGCAGCGGCGCGCCATTGCGGCAGTACGCTGGGTGTGGCACCAGTTGCATGTGGGCAGCCGCCGAGGTGCAGCTGGAGGCCCGAGACGTTGCCGTGCTTTTATTTTGGCGCGGCCATAGCCCGGTGCAGCGAACCACGATGATGGACGGCGTCGCACGGCCTGGGCGCCCTGAGTGCGGGCTGGCATCAGCCCACCCGCGAGCCGCTGCGGGACCTCGTGCCGCTGCGGGAGCTGTGTAATTTTCCGCGCGAGCAAGGCCTTCCAGGCCTGATACCCTGTGCGCGCCATGCGGCCTCTCTGGAGAGCTGCTTGCGCGTGCCGCCCTCGTGCCAAGCCACCAAACGGGCGGCATTGCCGGTGGGGCAGCGGCCGCGGGCGGCGGCAGCCTGGGCGGCACTCGCTGCGGCAGCGAGAGCTGCCTCGCCAGCGGCGGCAGCTTGCTTGTCAACGCCGCAGCAGGTGCAGGTCGTCGTACACGCGTGTTGAGCAGTGCTGCTGGGCGCAGGAATGTTTACAGCATGCTGGACCCCAAACCCCAGCAATTAATGGCAAATCGCATTTATCGACCTTCTGTGCTGCCTTAAAAGCGGTGGCAGTGGGCCTGCTGCTGCTTTCGGCCCGCAGCGGCGGGGCCAACGGCGGGCAGGATTTGCGGCTGCGTGGGAGAGTTTATTAGCAGGCGCAGCGAGGCAGAGGAGCCTGTTGGTAAGGAGCGCGGCTGCAACCCGCTCCGGTACCCTATTGCCGCCACGCACGCCACATAGGTGCGGACGCCGAAACGCGCTGCATGCTGGCTGTGTTCGCTGCTCACAGCGGTGCCAGCAGCGCCGCTGGAGTTCAAGCCCGCGTTGAACGCATTCCTGAGTGTGGGAGCGCGTGCCGCAGGCGCATCATTAGCCCCATCAAGACCGCCTATATTTGGGGGAGAGGGCAGCAAAGGGCACAAGGCGGTAACAAATCATTACAGTATCAACATCATCATCACACGGAAGTTGGCCTTCAGCACACAACAGGCCAGGGTGCAGGTGTTGTTGATGTGGATCGTTCCAGTGTGCAGTGTGTTGTGTGT